CTTCAAAAATACAAATCGGGATGTTTACAAAGTACGTGGTTAGATTTTTTTTTTTTTTCCTTCAGTGAAACATTTTAGAGCAGACAGTGAGGCGGGGAGAAAGCTAAAGGAATCAAGACTAAATAAGATTAGTGTAGCTTTGCTAGCAGTAGCCTTTAAAATTTAAGATTACAGTCCTGATCTCACTGGCTTCAGTGCGTTGGCCCTTTCTTAAGGATTTTTATGTAATTGTATATATTTGTGTCATATGTATGTAACTAGAATGCTACCAGTGAGTATCTGTCTGTTTTGAATTATATTTATACTGTTTGCCTCGATAGGAAAATGTATTTCATTTAGTGCTGTAGCTGGGGTTGACTGTTCACTGTCATTTTAATCGCACAAATGGCTATCGACCTGAGAAACAGCAGAGGTTTGGGAGACTTTAGTTGTCTTTTTATTGTTATTGTTGCTTGGGGTTTTTTTTGTGTGTTTTTTTCCCTCCCCCCCCCCCCCCATCAAATTGTGTGTAGGATTGACATGATCCCTTAAGTTTTGTAATTTAAAAAAAAATCCAAAAATGCACCTTAGTTTAAATTCTGGTATTCTATATTTTTATTCTCAGTAGACCTTATCTTGTAACTGATACTTTGGCATATGTTTCAATCTGTTTGTAAAAGCCTCTTTATAGATTTAGAAAGTAATGAAAATGCATTAGGTCGGTGACTCTTGTTTGAACCCAGGGTAAAACTCATCACCTGGAAACAAGCTGGACCCCAAATGCTCATTTCAGTTTGGTGCCTTCAGTCCATGTCTGTAAGTCATGTTAAATAGCTTGGCACTGGTGGTGGGGTGTGGTGTTCAAGATATGTGCCTTGCTCCCACAAGTGAGGTGGAACCATGGAGCTTTCTTAAACATCAGACTTCTCACAAGTTGAGTGTCTCTTGTTTGATCAGTCCATGTGCAAGCATACTAGGTAGTACTTCAAAACCGCCCTACCAAACTTAATAAATAAATAAATCTGCAGAACAAAATCTCGTAGTGCTATGACATAGACCCAGTAGCTCTGGTTTCCTTCCTCTGTCAGTTACAGTTATCCTTAGTGAAAGGATCTATGCAAGCTAAACTGCCTTTTTAGCTAACCGCCGGTCGTCCTTATCTCTCTCCCTAGCACAGGTCTAGACACAGAGGGAAGAAGCCTTGTCATAGGGAGATGGGCTTTGCTTCCAAACCCATTTCTACAGCTTCCTGGCTTAACATCACCTGACTGGTATGGAGCTGCAGAGGAAGGAGGAAGCCCTTTGGCCCCAAAACTACCACCTGAATGTACATTAACAGCCTTATCCTTGTAATTATCTACTGTGCCCTGAGCTTTAAATTAGAAAGGCTATGGTTTGAAAGTAGCCTTCTCTTCCTTTACTGGGCTGCAGCTGAGACCCCACTGACCCCTTTCAGGATAAGCAAGTGGATGGTTGTATCCTGGTGACAGCTCAGGGTTTGTTCCTAACAGCAGAAGCAAGCAAGAAGAATATTTTTTGATGTGGATGAAGGGCACAGTATTTAAGAAATTTTCATATGAGACAAAGGGTGAGACCATCACCTCTGCTTCCTGTAGTAGGGTGGTTATTCAGTGCTTTTTTCTTTGTTCTTTTTTTTTTTTCTTTTCCTTTTTTCGGGTGGGGGTAGTGGTTCAGGATTTCAGTTCTTAGCTACCTGTCTGTGGCATAGGTCAGTAACCTTTTCCCACCCCCACCCCTTCCCAGGTCAGGATAAAGAAATTTGGTTGGTTTGCTGTTTGGTTTGGTGTTTTTTTTATCAGACCCCAAAAGTAACTCCTTTCTGTTTGACCCAGGTAAGTTGCATGTGGTTCCTGCCCTTTGAATACCAAGGGAGGAAAGTGGGTGAGCACCACAAGGAGTTTCTAAGGTTGAATCTGTGGTAACTTCTGCTGCAGCTCTATTCCTGTGTTGGGGAGGAGGGAATCTTAGGTTAGAATCAGATGTACTGAATGCTAGGGCACTGTGCTAATCTTGCTGAACCAATTACTGCTGGATTTTTATTTTTTTTTACCATGAAAAATATTATGATATAGCTGTAAACTGATCTATCAGCAGTAGGAAGGTCAGTGTCTCATTAAATGTGCCCTGAAAACCTCTAGTTTGTATATGGAACTTTCCTATCATCCAGTATGATGGACCTTTATGAACTGGTTTTAGATGTTATAGTTAGCCTGGAATTCAAGCTGTGAAAACCACAAAATTCATACCAAAGTGAGTTAATGTACTTTGAAGCCTCTTTATTAAGGGGTAATGAGCAGCGAATTCTGAGGCAATGCCTTTATTTTCCTTTTTATTTCCCCTCCTCCCAATATATTTTAAATTTAATTTTGGTGGCTTTTGGATCTCTTCCAAGTACACTTTTTCTTTAAGCATGAAGGTTGCAGTGCCAAGATACATCCAGCTTTCTGCTCGGTAGCAAATATTTGCTGCAGCACTGCTCTGAAGAGCAGCCATTATTTGCTTGCCGTCTGCAGTCTGCTGAGCCAGCAGGACAGGAGCAGCAAGGCTGCTTACCTGAGCCCAGCAGCTCCCGCCTCAGGCTGAAGGAGTGGCTGGCAGCATCTCTAGGTGCTCGCACACCTCGTTTAAACAACTCTCAAAATCCTCAGAGTTGTGACTTAGAGCAGCATATAGAATATTGTAAATGTCTAGAAGGGTGTAGTTAACAATTCTTAAAGCATTCCGGGATCATGGAAAGCTGAAAGGCTGGGCTGTGTGTCCCTTCTTACTTTCTAGTTCTCTTCCAGATACTGCTTGCCTTTCCTTAGTACAGCTGCGCTGTGCCCAGCTGATAGAGTGGAGAAGCTGCACTTGAAATGGAGAGCACAAAGCACAGAAGTTGTAATCACTGTAATGTGATTATTGCGTTTCAGAAAAGCAGCCTCAAAGCTGGGGTTGGGCTGCAGGGGTGTCTTGACAGAGTGTGGTCTGCTGGACGTGCCTTTTCTCGTACGGCTGCCTTTTCTTCTAGCCAGAATAGGTCAGCTGCTTGCTGCAGGAGCACTTCAGCAGCCTGCTTATGGCCAAAACTTCCTTGCAGCAGCCTTGACTTTTTCACTTGCAGCTATGACATGGCTGTTCCCATCGTCCAAATCCCAAACTGATTTCTGCAGTGATCCACTAGGTTTCAGATCGTTTCTAGTGGCCAAAGTGTGTGTGTGGGGTGAGGAATTCATGTTGTGTGTATTTTGTTTGTTAGTAGCTTGTAATATTTTTTATTTATACAGTATTTTGCATGTGGCAGTCTTCTACTGAAAATACTGCAAAATACTGTATTCTTAAAAGTTTTAAGAATGTAATTCCTCATAAAGACAAAAAAAAACATCAGACCAACACTAAGTTATGTGCTGTTTCTTAAAGATCTTGGTTTCTGCAACCAGTTTATCAAAGTTGGAGGTGTGAAGTTCACTTGCTCAAGTAATGGAGCATCAGTTTGTGATGACTTCAGAATTCCATTGCTGCATTTAAGTTAATTTTGTTTCTCACCTGAAATAATTCTAGTATGTTGTATGTGATTCTGAGAGCCTCAGGGTGTCCACCTTCCTTCTGCTTTCTCAGAGTTAAAATCAAGTATGGGTCTGGGTTGTTTGTAGGTCAAGTAGCAAAGAGATAGAGCACTGAACAGCAGTGCTGCTTCAAAGGTTTGTGAAGATTTGGGGATCTGAAGGACAGGCAGGGTTTCTAACATCACTCCAACTTACGACATTTACTTGAAAACAGAGTGAAGGAGTGGCGAGTGCTTTCTTAGAGGCTTAAATTTAATACTTGGGCTTGTCAGCTTTGATAACAGCCTGTGATTTCACTCACCACCCCCCAGCAGACACTGCTTTATTCAGTGCTGTTTGTAAACTGTAAGTAGGGTATCTCTCATTGCTTCTCTGAAGATTTTACTGGCTGCTTAGATGTAATTATGAAATAATTTATTGAAGCCCAGGTCTGCAGAGTATTTAAAAGTTAGTATAAAAAAAGTTAACTGTGAACTATTAAATATGCCCATTCCATATTTTCTTACCTGAAGAGCTCTGAACTTCTTGATGAAATAAAAGCCAATGCTATTATTTGCCAAATAATTGTGGTAATAAGCTTGTGAGAGGTTGCTGTGCTGAATTGTTTTCATTCCATGGATTCTTAAACCAAGAAGGATCTTGAGCGTTTCCTCCCTGATTTGTGGTGGGCTCAGGACTGGCTAAACTGAAATCTGCTATTCCCTAAGGGCTTGATGCCACTATAGTCTCCCTTGTGTCAGCCTGTTTTAAGTGGCTAAAGACTTCTTTGTGCATATGTGCTTTGGTTCTCAGGCAACAAAAATATCTGGAACCCTTAACAGCAGAAGCTCTGAGGGTTCACTTCTTTTTTTCTCTTCAAAATACCATAAATTTGCTGTTGTTGCACTAAAAAAAAAAAAAGGCACTTCATGCCACTTCCTATCCAAGCATCCAAGACATGTTTCCTTAACAAGACTTCTGTGTTTTTACCTGTAGTGTTTGTTGCTATATGATAAACACTTGCCTATGTTTCAGTCTCTCCAGATGTTTGTAAGTGCTGGTTATGGCTCTTCTCCCTACCTGTGTCTTGTCTATCTTATTTTTTTTTCTTCATAAGCTTGTTTCTATTTGCTACTAATTGCAGTGGGTTTGTTTGGGTTGGGTTTTCCCCCCTATTCTAAAGACTAAAAAGTGTGTTTGAAACAAAGTTGCATAGATGAGTCTTTTGTCTGGTCCACTTTCCTGGGTTAATAGGCCCTGTGTATATGCTTCAGGTACAACTACAGTTGATGTTTGTCACAGAAATTGTGGGGAAGGGGAAAGCAAACAGGTTTGTCTTATGTTTGTACTAATAATTAACTTCATTTTTTTAAATTATTTTTTTCTTTTTTAAGACTGACTGTCAGACACTATCTTTGCTGACAGTGTTCTAGGATCCCCTAAACCTTTCATTTTCCAACTGGGATTTCCTGATCTCTTGCAGCAGAGCTTCCTCCTCCGTACACTGCCATTGCAAGCCCCGATGCCAGTGGCGTCCCGGTAATAAACTGCCGTGTGTGCCAGTCACTAATCAATTTGGATGGCAAGCTACACCAACACGTGGTTAAGTGCACAGTTTGCAATGAAGCTACGGTAATTTAGCATTTTCTTTTTGGGGAGGGGAGTGGGGGGAGGTCTGAGTGTGTCCTTGATAGAGTTCGTGTCCTCCCTTATAAAGGGTGAGTCCTTCCTTCCATCCCTGTGAAGGACTGCTGGTGTAACAGTGCTCAAGTCGAGGGTTGCTGGCACAAGGATGGTCACAAGCAGTTAGAGTGAATCTTTGCTGTTGAGCTGGCTGTGCAGAATGTTTCCTTCTGAGGAGGACAAAAAGCAAAGATTTTAAATAATTGCCCCTTTATAAAGGGGGGGTGAAACGGGTTTGGGTGGGATGAAGAGAAATGAAGAATTAAATTATTTTGAGAGTTGAAGAAAAAAAAGTAATTAACCTCTCCATGGATGTATGCTTTCCTCCTGCAATAGTGTTCAGTCAATTTGTTAGCTTGCTAACCAACCACAACACAACAGTTTTGAAACCTGTAAATTGTAGGTTCTTTTCCAGTGATCACAGACCTTTTTGTTGTTCCTCCCCTTAATTCAAGGTTTCAGTATTTGGCCTCTTGCTTCTGTTTTTTTTTTTTTTTTTTTTTATGAAGGAGGGAAAGAGTTTCAGGACCTGATACTGCAGCACTCCACAGCTACTGAGTGCATTTGCATGAAAAACCCTCGCTTTGGTTTGCTTTATGAAAAGAACTTCAAATTACGTCCAGAAAACAGGAAGTCTTAAAACTGTAGAAAAGTATCTTCCTTTTTTTTTTTCCACTTAGAAGAGAGAGTAGAGAACCTGCTATTAATAG